GGAGAGAATTAAGGAGGGTTTGGACCTTAGAGTTCGAGAGTTATGTGGCACCAGGAATATGGAGAGAAAAAATACAGAGTTGGAGAACCAGTAACAGCTTAAATTTTTAGAAAACTTAGGTGCAAAGGATTTAATTCAATGGCTAGTAAGAAAATGGGCAGTTCTTAAAAATAGAAACCTAAGTGATCAACAAATAATTGAAAAGATGCCCAACCTTACTAGTAACTAGAGAAATGCGTATTATTGCAAAGCATCATTTCATACCTATCAAATTGGCAAAGATAAAACAGTCTGGCACTGTCAAGTATTGGTAAGGATAGAAAAGTGGGAACTCCCTCATGTTCCAATAACATAGGTAATAAAATGAGACATAGACTTCTTTAGAAAACAGTCTGTATTTATCATACTTTCTGTATTTGATATTGTTTTTAAAGTGTATTTTTAAAATATATTACTTGATTTAATCTTACCACAAAATTCCCCTCTACAGGAAATTGAGACTTTTCCTAGGTTTAATAATTTGTCCACTGTCACAAAAGTAGTAGAGGAGTCAGGATTTAACTTTTCTTTAGCTTTTTCTTATTCCAAAACTAGTGCTCCCAATTACTATACTTTGGTGATATTAATAATAAGGAACATATATTGAACACTTACTATTTACCAGGAAGTACATTAAGTATTAGACATACCTTAGCTGATTTCACCTCTACAACAATACTTTGCTGTATGTGCTTTTGTTATTTCTCATGTTGTTTGTAGAGATTTATAAGCTGACAGGCAGAAAAGTGACTATTACTTTTAACTTATGTATTGAGGTATTGTTTTATATTGTTGTTTGTATTTGGGGAGTATAGGTTTTACCAATAAATCAATTTGGCTTTATCTGGCTCTTTGTTTTCTCTATATTTAAAAAGTAGGTATTAAACTCAAGTTTCTGGCACATGATCTTTTCCTTCACACTGAGTTAGAAAGCTTTAGAGGTATAATGGACTTCAGTTTTCTTTTCAAAGCATAGCCAGCCAGATCATGTGACTTTCATGCTGGAAAACCTTTGCATTGTTTCCGTCCCTACTTCCCCATTTAATAATAAGTAAATCTGAATTTTTCTATTTGGCATATCAGGCATTAGCTTACTTTTCTTGTCTCAATATGCTTCCCACTTATACCCACCTTTTAATTGGTCCTATAGCTTATCAGTTCTGTACATCATCTTTTGTTTATGCTTGGATCCTTCATATTTTATAGTTATTCTTCTCTTAGAATGTTCTTCTCATCTTACACATTTAAAATGTAAAGTCTCAAACAAAAATTTCAAATCTGTGTAGTATTCATATTAATTTGTTAATGCTGAGATCGTGATGTTGTGTTACATTTTTGTTGTTCAAATATCTGGACTATGAACTCCTTGACAGCATGAATCTTTCTTAATTTATCTGTATTCCTATTACCTAGTTTAGTACTTGGCATGCAATAGTTCTTCCTGTATGTATTTTGTCACAGTTTTATTTCCTTTTTAATTTTACTATTGTTAAAAGACTAAAAATCTGTTTCAGTTATTTCAAATATAGTGATTAAGAGCAAAGGTATGGGAACCGTATTCCTTCATCATCATCTAACTGTGGGATCTTGGACAAAGTACTTAGCCTCACTAAGTCTCCACATCTGAAAAATATTAATTTATGTTATTAAGATGGGAAAGCTGAATACTTCAAAAGTACTTAAGACTTGACACAATGTGCTTTTCTTTTAAGTTTGTTTTATTAGCTACTGTCATTTCTATTAATTTGTTTATCACAAATACTGATTGTGTCATTATTGGCCAGATAACTGTGTTAGGTACCAGAGCAAGATGGAAACAGTCTCTGTACTCATGGAGTAATTTGTTACTACTAGTTATTATAGACATTACGTTAATAATTACTCCTAGGTGTGAAGAGTTGCTGTTCAAAATAAAATGAATTTTCTCCATTTTGCCAAAAATTTGTACATATTTATTGAATAACTTTATTAAGTAGTTTCACTAATTGTATACTTAAAATATAAGAGTGGTAGTACACTTAGCACAAGATGAAGTATAAGAAGTTGTTAAACTCTTACCTAAAGCAGTGAAGATATTTTGGTAAATCCTAGAACATTTCCTGCTGACTTTGTGTTTTGGTTACCCGATATAGGTCTCCAGTATGATTTTGTTATTATTTTTTTAAGTACTAGTTTTAATGTCAAGAAATAAATAGTATTTTGGTATATCTTGTAAGGATATTTTAAAAATACCATTCCAGATGAGTTAATTCTATTATGACCTTTTGGGTTTAGATGGTTGAAATGTCTTTATAATAGAAGTGTTGAATTTAAATGTTTCATAATAGGAAGATGGACTCTTAAGAATGGGTAATAAGAGGAAAATCCTTTTTATTGTTCTATGAAGTTGAGAAGAGTAAGTTACTAATTAACCATTATTTCATACTTTGATTCTTAGTACAATTAACTAGATGGCATAGTTTTGCAAACATGTGAAATAAGTGAGGAACATGCATTATTCATTCACATTGTCATTGCCCCGCTGCACCTGTTCTTACTAGTTACAGCCCCTTTCCACAAAATCACAGAAGTGAGAGAACAATATGGTAACCCAATATAAAAGAGAGGTATCGAATTATTAACTAAAGTAAGTCAGAGTTGTATTTACATTTTATTTCAGCCAGTGGACAAATTCTATGTTAAATGTTTTATGTTGCAGTATATTTCTCATAAGTCTACCAAATCTTGTCTTTCTCACTTACAGGCAACCTTTTTTGTTCACTGTCATACTTTGTTTACTCTTAAATTTATTAAAGTCTGGGTTTCTGCCCCCTTCCACTAAGTAGTCACATCCTGAGTTTTTCTTTGAAGAACATTTCTCAGCCTGTCTGTGGCATTTGTTACTGGACATTTCCACCTTAAAATGCTCTTGAGTTTCTTATAAATTCCTTCTCTCTCTCACTCTATTCCTCTCTGTTTCCCTCATGCTTGAAATATTCCATTTTTTAAAAATCTGTTCTTAGATTTCTTTTGTTCTTTATTTTTTTTCCTTGGCAACCTTACATTTATGCTTATGGTTCCATATACCTTCTATGAGCTAGGGGCTCCCCAATGTATTTCTAGAACTTAGCCTTTCGCCTCAACACCAGGCCTGTAATTACAATTGTCTACTGAGTTCAGCTGGTTGACTCAACTTTCTAGTATACCTTAAAATCTAATATACCTTAAAATCTATACAAGCCATGATATTCTTTTACTTTGGTAAAATTTTTCATATGATTGTCCCATTTTTTAATTAAAAAAACTACATCTTTAGTATCTTTCTGATCCTATTTTTTCTGTCTTTACTATTTCAAATTCAAACCCTTATTCTCTATCTTGGATATTTTAACTGTTTCCAGAATGTCCTTTCTGTTGCCAGAATTGACCTTTTTAGTCTATCCTCATTGTCACCATAGTGATGTTCTAAAATGCAGTGTTCTAAGTGTGTTTTTCTATATCTTAATATATTTTAGCTATTTTTTTTTAAGATTTATTTATGCTTACAGAACTGGGGTACAGGCCAGAGGTGTGGAGGGTAAGAGGATTCACCAGAGACTGAGTGGGGAGCAGAACAGGCAGACTGACAGAGTTCACTGCTGAGGGGAGTAGCGGGTGGTGAAGAGATCTGCCACGCCATGTGCGTCAGCTCCCTGGCTGGGGATTGAACTCGTGCCGCAGTGGCTTCAGAGAGCTTCATAATGCAGTGCTTTAACCAGTTGTGCCACCAGGGAGAGCCCTATTTTAGCTATTTCTTAATGCACCACCAATTCAAATATCAATCGGTGCCTGTCTGCTTTTGGAGTATTTAAAGAACTTTTGGAAAACTCCTGTTCTTCCCCCACAGATTCTAATTCAGAATAGAATTTAGTCTTTAAAAAAGTTTCCAAGGTGATAACAGATAAACAGACTGGACTGGAAAACGTTAACTTATACATGTGGTTTAGATTCCTTTTTATGGAGTCCAAGACCCTTTAGGATCTAGTGCCTGCCTCCATCTATAGCACTGTCTCCTGCTTTCTATCCTTTCATTTACTTTACTCTAGCCTAATTCCCTCTTGGCCCTGGAACCCACCAGGTTTGGTCCATTCTTGGGATCTTTGTTTGCTTCTTTTAAATTAGGGGAAGAATCTTAGATTTTTTGTCTATTCCCCTTTTGCATCTCTGTACACTCTAGATATCTTTTCCTTGGATTTCACACTTGAAGCTCAGTTGAAAAACCACTGATCTAATACAAATCATTGAACCCCAGAAAGATTAAGTAACCATCCAAAGTTATATAGAAGTGAATGGAAGATTGTAGATAAAATTCAGGTTTTGGTCCCTCCCTGGTGGTGCAGTGGGTTAAAGCACAGCACTAAGAAGCTAAAGCCACTTCCGCATGAATTTGATACCCACCTGCCCCGGAGGCGATCCACATGGCTTGGCAGACCTTTCCTGACCTGCCCTCTGCTCCCCTCAGCAGTGTACTTGGCTGATCTGCCTGTTCTGCTCCCCACTCTGTCTCTGGCGAATCCTCTCACCCCCTGCACCTCTGGCCTGTACCTCAGTTCTGTATACACAAATAAATAAATCTTTTTAAAAAATTTAATATTCAGGATTTATACTCTTAAAATCGCTCTTATTTATTACTCTTCCATACTTGCACATGTATAATATATGGGCAGATTGATTTGAAATGACCTCTTAATTGTTTCCTGACATAAATTATCATTCATTTATTCTCTTTGTCTACTCATTTAATAAGCATATATTTGAGAACACAAGGAAAAATGCAATGTCAGGGGTGAGGTGGGTAGAAAATTAAATAATACAGATCTTCTATCCTTAAGGTTCTTAAGGCAGGCCTTTTATATTGAATCAAAGAGTAATATACAAAATTTACTAATATTTTACAAGAGAACCCATAGTATAACCTTTTCCATTGTTTTCTTTTTATCTAGGGAAAGACCATGTTTGTAGATTTATTGGCTGTGGAAGGAATGATCGATTCAACTATGTGGTCATGCAGTTGCAGGTAGGTTACACTGAAAATGTAGTAAAAAAATTTTTTTTAAGATTTATTTATTTATGCATACAGAAAAGGCCAGAGGTGCAGGGGTGGTGAGAGGATTCACAGAGACAGAGTGGGGAGCGGAACAGGCAGACAGATGAAGTACACTGCTGAGGGGAGCAGCAGGTGGGTCAGGAGAGGTCTGCTGCACCACATGGATCACCTCTGGCCAGTAATCGAACTCTTGCGGAAGCAGTCACAGCTAGCTTTGTAGTGCTGCACCAGCAGAGAGGGTCCTCTTAAATTTTTTTAGTTTTGATCAAAGTACCTAGCTATAGTAGGTTAATGAAACCTAAAATGTTATTTTTATTCAAATTTACTGTAACTAAGTATTTTGACCAAAGTACAAGTCAAGAAAAAGGTTGTCGTTGTCAGCCTTCTCATATGTTTCTCACCCGCATGTCTCTTCCAAGTATGTGTCTCTTTCAAGTATGTCTGTGTAGTTTGACTGCTCATGTCTCTTCCATAAAACCCCTGTTGCAAGTACAAAGCTGAGAAGCAAGCATGCCCTCCCTCACAGGTTTCTCTTCCTGTTTTCTCCTATGTGTTCTAGAGCTTTACCTCACTACTAAGCTATGCCCCTTAACTAGGTAAGGGGAATCTGGAGCCTCCCTCTTTTATAGAGATAATATTTAGATCTTGCTTCTTACTGACATTTATGATTTCTTTTAAAAATCCAAACCTCATTCTTTTCTTTGTAGCAATTCATTTATATGTATCTGTCTTAAGAAATTTAAGGAATGTGGCCTCCCTGGTGGCCAAGGGGTTAAGTCTCAATGCTATCACTGCTAATATTTGAGTTTGGTCCCCCGCCAGGAAGCTAACCCACATATGTCTTGCCTGCTGTTCCCCTTCGAAGTGCATTTCAGTAAATCCACCTGTTTTTGCTCCCTACTCTACCTCTGGGGAATCTTCTTACCCCCACACCTCTAGCTACACACACACACACACACACAAAAGCCTACTTAAAAGAAGAAATTTAAAGAACAATCCTATCTCTCTTGGAAAATTCTAGCTATATCATTACAATGGTTTTTTTTTTTTTTAAGATTTATTTATTTATTCATACAGAACTGGGGTACAGGCCAGAGATGCGGAGGTTGAGAGGATTCACCAGAGACAGAGTGGGGAGCAGAACAGGCAGATCAATGAAGTACACTGCTGAGGGGAGCAGTGGGTGGGTCAGGAGAGGTCTGTCATGCCATGTGGAACACCGGGGCAAGCGGGGATCGAACTCATGCGGAAGTAGCTTTTGATTCTTAGTACAGTGCTTTAACCCACTGCGCCACCAGGGAGGGCCCTCATTACAATGGATTTTTACTGGGTTCAGAAAAAAACTAAAAAAGACAAAAAACAAAAAATTACCTTCAAGCAGTTGTACACATTCTTTCCTATGTTTTGCTGGCAGAACTCCTATAAGTCTTGCTTAATATCCTGTCTCTTTTAAGGTTTTACGTGAACTTCCTTAGTATAGCCAGAGGGTGCTATTTTGTGATAAGTATATCACTTTGGGAAGGGCAAAAAATATTTTGAATCCTGTAGCCAGTATAGATGTTCAAGTGTCTAACAGCGGTGCCATAGTTTTTAATTAGGGAAAACATTGAACATACATGAAAGCAGAGACAATAGTATAATGAACATCTATGCAACGTGTGACCAATCTCCTCCTGTTACTGTCCAGATGATTTCTTTTACCCATTCAACACCTAAACAAGCCCAGCTTCAGGCAGCAGAAGGCCTTACCCATTGGCCAAGTGACAGAAAATTAGGTAGGAACTTATATAGGAGTGGAGGAAAGATGATACTAAGGAAGAAAGGAGACTAATGGGTATGTATCAGCAGTATTTCAGAGAAAGAATTGGGAATTTCCAGGAAATGCAGTCACATACCATTTCCCCCCCAAATTTGGTGTTCTCCACAGCTGTCATGGTATCTAGTAGCTATGCTTTTTATATTTATTATGTTAATGGGAGTGTGCTTAACCCCTTCCTCTTACCTCTCAGTCTCTCTTGGTTTTCTGTCGTTTCATCTGCAAGGAAAGATAAGCAGAGCAAGGGTGAACAACTTTTGCAAGAAAAAATAAACAAGAACAGAGCAAGAAGGGAGAAGTTAGGCCAATTATTCTTTTCCTGTCCCCCCCCCCACATTATTTGAAAGGAAATCCAAAATATATTTTACCTATCTATGTTTCTAAAAGCTGAGGAGTCTCCCCTCCCCTGTATAGCCACATTGCACAATTATAATTACTGAATAATATCAAATATGAATAAATTCAGGTTCCCTTGATCATACATATTCTTTTATATTTTTTTACTTGGTTTTCTTGAATTTCATTTCACAGTCACTTCATACATTGCATTTAGTGTCTCTATCTCTTGAGCATCCTTTTTTTCTTTATTTTAAAGTACTGTTTTATTAGTCAAAAATAGTATTTCTAAGATCATCCTTTAAATCAGACAGTTCTGAGTTTACTAAAAGCTTTCTGTTTTAAGCCAGAAATT